GTAACCACATGCAAAATAATTGGCAGGACCCGTGTGCCCCGAAAAGTTGACAAAAACGAAACATTTCAGAGGCTTTTTCAGATCTTGCTGTTTAAAGAAACCCTATCATCCCAGCATTATAATTGCACAATGCCAGTTTGATCCACGAGGTGTCCCTCTTTAAACACACACTTTGAGTAGGATTATTCGACTTTGAATCCACGTGGGAAGGTCTGTAAGTGTAGGTGGTTAATGGGTTGATTGACCAGTCCCGTTTCTCAGCACCGGGCCCTGGGAAGTTGCCTTATGTGGTGTTTTTGCTAACAAGGCTCTGTAATAGCAGACTTTGGAACGTCTCGACCTCGTGTGTGCCAGTGACTTTACTAGGATCCGAAGGCCTTGCTATTGTCTGCCTTTTACAGGGCATCTTGTTTTTGACTCTGGGCTGAATTTTAACTTCCTCTACTACCTGATTCATATTTGGGGCCAAATGACGTAGGCTGGGCACCTGTAGCTATAAGCTGCTTCCAGCAGGATGCCCTCACAGCTTCAGCAACCTAGCCTGGGCTCGGGACCAGGGGTTATTGTAAGAAGCGGCCTATTCGTACTGCAGGAAGAGGGCCACGGAGGGCTGTCCTCTTGCTGGCAGACCTGTGGACGGGGATCCTTTCTCAGGAGTGGCAAACTGGCTGCCCTCTCTAAGACCAAAGGCAACCGTGTTTTCTTTGCCAACGCGCTTTAAAAGATCTTGAATTTGATGTCCACCTGCGTGACCCTCGCTTTTCACCGAAGGGAAGACCTGTGGGACCGGCACGCGGCACTGCCGCCCGTGTCTGTGTGGCCTCACACAGCCCTTCGCGGACTTCCCCTGCTTCCCTCAACCGCCCCCCGGCTTCACTGAGATGTATTTCCCTTGTTCTTTCACACTTTTAGCACCTCTTGGACAAAATGAATGAATACGTGGGCAAAGCCGCCTCTCGGTTATCCACCCTCTCGTTACTGGGGCACGTCATAAGGCTGCAGCCATCTTGGAAGCATAAACTCTCTCAAGCACCTCTTTTGCCTTCTTTACTAAAATGTCTCAAGGTACGCTGTTTGAAAGGATTCGAATGCAATGGCTTTGTGAATATCGTTTTTGGAAATGTCGAGTAACTTAGCGCAAGCGATCTAGATTTTAGTTTGGAGAGTTTGGAAACTCCCAGGCAGTTGGTTTTTCTCACTCAGTAGCAGAGTTGGTGCTCAGTAAGTTCTCAGTGCATCACCATGACTGTCAAATGTCTTCTGTCCCAGCAAACATGGTCACGTTTCACTCAGACTGGTTCCACATCATGCTATAGCCTTCCCTCAGTTAAAAGTACGCTGGTTTGTCTTTGGAGAAAGCACATTTCTACATTCCCTTTCAGCTAATAGAAAAAGGGCTAAAAGGCTCTTTTAACCATTTAGGAGCCTATTTAGTTGCAGCTCTAATCAGGTGCCTGCCGAGTCGCATTGTTCTCTGTTGTGTTAACTTCAGTGCGTCCTTCTACACAGGGAGTCTAAACCTAAATAGAACAATAGTTTTCATTGGACAGTGGCTTGCCAAGGTATTCAGGGCTATTTGCTTAATCTGTTTGAGTTCCTGGACTCATTTCCTATCTATAAAATGAGAAAGTGTGGTTAATATTAACTGCCTATCCCTCACAGAGACACGCAGACACCCAGATACCCAGTAGTATTTGCTGCAGGACGGCGGTGCTTTTGGACTCGCCTGATGTGGCACCTGCAAGTCGGTGTCTGTCTCTGCCAACAAGGGTAACTTATTATCCCTAGAGGCGGGTCCCAAAGAGTCCCAGTGATAGGATGTCGTAAAACACACGGTGTAATGTTAAGGAAAAACAGGAACAGTTATAACAACTTAATTTTTTAAGCAAAAGGATTGATGAGAATCTAATCCAATTTTGAGGCACCATTTAGTTCAGATTGCAAAACTACTTCATCTTTTCCAAAAGGATAAGCCTTGAAAATTAATCATGGAGTATTACCCAAGCCTTAGTTAGAATGTTATAAAATTAAGGTTAGTCTTTTTTGCTGGAGCTCATTACATGTTCTTGATTTTCTATCAATATTTAATGTTCTTCTTCCTAGATATCTGCCATGACAGAAGGTCTGGTTCTGATGTAAAAACTACGTGTATTTAAAACTTTATTTCCAGACTCATAGATTCCTTTTCCAGTAGGAGTAATGAATGTCTTAGCCTCCCTGGAAGTCATTTGATTACTCCCTTGTTTCTTAAATTCGAATTCCAGTTACTTGGCAAACATTCATGATGTAATTATGGGTCAGGTGAGCTGCTGTAGCTAGTCTTGTCGATTCATTATCCATTGAGTATTAAGTGTCTTCAATTAGCCTAACTTTATTGACTTGATATTTAAACTAGCTGTCTTAGCCGGTCACTATATCTTTTTTTTATTTGCGGATTTCTGAAGGCTGCTGTGAAGATGAGACATTAAGTAGACTCATTAGTGCTCTGCTCATTTCTTAAGATCTATTTCTGTTGTAATCCTTTAAAAAATAGCGTGTTACTTGTCAGTGTGTGATTTTTTTTTTTTTTAAACAGACTTTAAAAAGTAAATATTTTAGGATTTGGGTGAATGAGCAAAAACAGCAGCATTCCTTTGTTCCATTAAAGTTAAAGAGCAGCTTCCCGTTCTTCCTTCACTGGGGTAAATGGGACACCCTCAGGCTTTAGGGCCGGGAGTCACCAAGCCATGCGTAAGCTCCGTAAGCTCCGAGGGGTGCATCCAAGTGGCCTTGCTCTCTAGAGACGGTTGAGCTGGTCCTCAGTGGCTTTTCTGTTGAGTCTGTTCTAGTGTTGACCCTCCCAGACCCTTAGGGACCTGGGGATTTAGAGACAGGGAGGTGAGTCTGAGCAGACCTCTCACTCGTGACCCCCTGATGCTGACCCCGAGCTGTGCCTGACAGGCGTTTCCTCCTGCTTGGCCTCCTTCTGCAGATGGACACTGATGTCATCGTCCTCACCACAGGCGTCTTAGTGTTGATAACCATGCTACCGATGATTCCACAGTCGGGAAAACAGCATCTTCATGATTTCTTCGATATTTTTGGCCGTCTTTCGTCGTGGTGCCTGAAGAAACCAGGTAAAGATCTCTTTGTGTACCTGTCGCACCCTACCAGGTGAATGCTTTCATTGTTGATTAACAGGTCGTGAGCTTTAAGGGAAGGACATGTCAAATTTTACAGCCGAGATGAGCGGTAGTCACTAGCCAGATAAGGAAGTACCTTGGGTGTGTCCACTGCAGTCACAAATAAGAAGCATGACTTGAGATGAGATACCTTCCTTACCTTTCTTATTCTGTTGGCTTGAAGGATTAGTTCTCAGGTAGGATGTAAAACTTCCTGGTCTTCAGTAAGCTGAAAAACAGCTTCAGTCTGCGCTGTAGCAGTCTGGGACTAAGCTTGTGGACCCTTCCGCTTGCTCCTCTGGTCCATCGTGACAGCACACAGGCTTCCAGTCTGAGAACCTGTTCACTGCACATTCCGGGGGGAGCGCAGTGTGTCCTGATCAGCGCTCTGATTTTGAAGGCAGCGCGTTTTCTCCTAGTTGATGGCACAGCTCTATCAAGGTGATTTAGGTGCTCTAAGCATGTACGGTTTGGAATCTTCCGGTAATCCCAGCAGGAGATGTTCCTGTTGAAAGGGTGGAGTATGTAAGCCCTGTGACACAGCCCTGTGGCTCCCTGTTTAGGCCGAAGGAACAAGCACAGGCCCACGGCGCTCTTCTTGAGGTGAAAGGGGGGGTCTCTCCGTCGTGTGTATGTGGCCTTGGGCTCTCCATAGGTTCTACGTGAGGCTGGATTGACTAAGCTTTCTTTCTCCCACACTTAGCTTTTTAAACTAACTTCAGAAGAGTTTTTTCACTCAGTAGTTACAAATCTGCATCGTTAAGACTACGTACTGACTTCAAAAGGTTCTCACGCGTTAGTTCCTCAGATATTTGAACGCTGCTGTGCACCAAGCACAGAGCAAGGCAGTGGCAGCAGAGGTGAGTCAGACAGTTCTCAGGAGATGCATGCTGAAAACGGCAGTGGAGAAGCACAGTGTCACATGTTAGGGGAAGTGACTGTCATTATAAAGGTACTTCAGTGTTGTAGGAATGTCTAGGGTTCTTTTTAAGGGGTGACTGGAGAGGAAGGTGGAGATTAGCTCGCTAAGAGCCTCATGAGTCACCCTAAGTAGATCGGGGTTGCTCAGGGCCATAGGGCGCCACCGATGGATTTTCAGTACAAGTGTCTGGCGTGTTCACATTTGCATTTTAGAAAACCATCCTCGCTGTCTTCGCAGCAAGGTGGGCATATGCCTAAGCAAAACGCCGTGCTGCGGCCTCGGGGTCATGTCTGTCTCGCACACATCAGCCTTGTGTACAGCTCAGAGCCTCTCAACGGTTTCCTCTTTCAGGCCACGTGACAGAAATCTACCTTGTCCATCTCCACGCCAGCGTCTATGCTCTGTTTCATCGTCTCTACGGAATGTACCCTTGCAACTTTGTCTCCTTTCTGCGATCTCACTACAGTATGAAGGAGAACTTGGCGACTTTTGAGGAAGTGGTCAAGGTAAATGAGAACTGCTCGTTTATTCGATGCCGTGTAGACAGGCTGCAGTTATAACTCGCGTGAAACGGTAGATGGGGATTTTGTTCCCCACCCCCAGCCCTAGGCAGCCACTCATCTACTCTCTGCCTGCTTTGAACAGTTCGCATAAGTGGAGTCACATGACGTTTGGTCTTTCGCTTGGTGTAGTGTTTCAGGCGTCTTCCTTGTTGTAGCATGTATCAAAAAGGTACTTCGTCCCTGTTTATCGTCACGTAATCTTCCATTGTGTGGAGATACCACAGAAATTAAGCCTTTTCTAATTTGTCAACCCAAACTCTTCTAGCCGATGATGGAGCATGTGCGAATTCATCCGGAATTAGTGACTGGATCCAAGGACCATGAACTGGACCCTCAGAGGTACGGGAACTGAACGGTAACAGAATTTTATAGAATGTCTCGGAGATTGCAAACGCCGTCTGGGAGATGTCCGTCCTGAGGTGTCACTTGGGAACGCGGGCTCTTTCGCTCATGGAGTCAGCCATTTTGAAGGACTTGTGCAATGAAAGCTTCATATGAGTCTAAAACACATTCCTTGCGGGCGGAGAACTCATAGCTCGCCCAGCGGAGCAGAGGTGGCTGCAGCATGGTGACTGCCTCTCTGAGCCCCGGGGAGGCTTCCTGCTCGGTGGCACCCAGGTCTGTGTGGCGAGGGGCGAAGTGTGTGGCTGGACACGAGTGGGTGGTGGCAGGTGGATGCCGGGTGGCTGGACCGCCTGGGTCTCTTCCCCCTCCCACCTCGCCAGGCAGCTCCCGCCCTCCGCCGAGCCCTCTAGAAGCTCCCAGGCTGTTGTCTGGGGAGAGCAAACCCGCAGGGCTGCTGCTTGGCGGACACCGGGCACATGGCGGCTGAAGCTGGGTGGAGCTGAGAAGGAGGCAGTGAAATGAGCGTCTCCGTCTCCGTCCTGGGCCGACAGGGCCCAGCTTCCTCTCTCTTCTCCGCCTGGAAGTCAGGTTTACACGCGCTGGGTGGAGCTGAGAAGGAGGCAGTGAAATGAGCATCTCCGTCTCCGTCCTGGGCCGACAGGGCCCAGCTCCCTCTCTTCTCCGCCTGGAAGTCAGGTTTACACGGCCCCGGGCAGGGGAGCGCACCCTCTTTGGAGGGCAGCGAATCCGTGGACACGGACATTGGGGGATCTCCCACTGAGAAAGCTGGCTTGCTGCCAGGTGTCCCTATAGCACGTCGCCTCCATGTGCCACGCAGAGCCTCAGTCAGCTGCAAGCAGCTTACGTGAGATGTGCGTAGAGAAGCGTAGAAACGTGTATGCAAAGCTTAACGATCACACGTGCGTATCCGTGTGGCCGCCACCCACTTTAACATGGAGCGTTACCCTCCCGAGTGGCAGTCATCTTTCTCTCTGTTTCCTGTCCCACCTCAGAGAACTGTTCTGGCTTTTACGTGAATGATTCTCTTTCTTTTCTTTATGGTGTTGCCACATGTATTGTTTTATTTGAAAAACTAATGCGGAAGCAGACGCTGGCTAAAGAAGAGTAGTCTTGTCACTGTCAGATGAAGGGACCCAGGAGACAGGAGGAAGAGCAGACTGTCTGTTGGCCCGCCTTCTCCTTCCGCGAGAGTTTGCAGGAGCCCCTTCTGCCCGTGGGCCGTCAGTGGGCCAGGGCCATGCTGATTCTGGGACGCGTAGGCTCACCCTAGTCAGAGCGGCCGGCGAGGCCTGCAGCCAGGACCACGTGCTTCCGTGCTGCGGAAATTCGGCAGCGGGAGGGGGCTGCCGTGTTGGCTGCTGCTGAGCTCACTGCTTCCGGGAGCGGTCGGAGCAGAGGCCTTCTGTGGCAGGGAGTGGATGTCCTCACCGATATAGGCAGAGTGAGGACGTCATCAGTGCATAATCAAGACAAGCTCAGTGCAGACAAGTTGTCTAGGCCAAGGTCGCCTAGTGCTCCGTTCCTCATTGAAAAACAGCACAGAGACGGCGAGAACCTTCCCCATGGCCTGCAGCCCGCCCGTCTCTTGTTAGGTCTGTCTGGTGTGAGCAGGCGGTTTTCTGTACCCGCTGCAGAGTTGGCGTCTTGTTCTCCCGGGGCTCCCCTTTGCCTGTCTCCTCTGCAGGATCTCCCATTCCCTGTATCTCCTGTCTCTTTTTTGCTTTACTCTTGTTTTCATGGGATACGTCTTCTACTGGCTTTTTGAGGAAGGATGCAGTTTTTTGGCTGGGTGTAGACTTCTAGGTCGGGAGTCAGTGTCCGCAGTTTGAGGCCATCATGTCATTGCCACCTTGCTTCCAGTGTTGCTGTTGAAATCAAAGACATCCTGATTTCTGACCATGTGTGTTTGCTGTCGTTTTTCGCCATGGAGCCTGTAGAGTCTTCTCTCTGTTCTCATCATATTCTGAAGTTTCCTAGTGACGAACCTTGGTATAAATCTGTTCTCACTGTTCAGTCTGGAAACTCTTAGTATCTTTAAGTTCTAGGACGTTTTCTGTAGTCGCTTTCTGTAATTACACTTGATTTCCTGCCCTCCACGTCTCTCTTTTTTCCAGAGCTCCTAGTATTCGGATGGGACCTTGGAGTGGCCCTTTGCTCTTCTTCGCTCCCGTTTTTCTCTGTGCTCTTTTGTTCTGCTTCCTGAAGACGTCCTTACCTTTGGCTTTAGATCGTTCTATTATAGTTCCATTTCTACCACCACGTTTTTATTACTGAAGAGTTCTTTAGTTCTCTGAGTGTTCCTTTTTTATAATAGCTCATTTTTGTTTCGTGAATGTGACCTCTCATGGCTTCGAGAATGTCGATAGTTGGGTTTTTTTTAGGGGATTTGAGTGGTTGATTTGGAAGCTTCCTGGGTCAGTTTACAGGGCCTCACACCTTGACAGGGAGGGGTCATCTGGCTTTTGAGGAAAGCTCTAACACAGAAGACAAGAGGCCGCTGTGAAGAGGAGAAAAAGGAGCCAGAAACAATGGTCATATGGAGAGCAGAAGAAAATGTCTATGGTAGCTACAGGGAGGAGGCACTTATGCAGGTATGCAGAGGTCAGGATGCCTCAGGAGGGAACAGTCAGGAGACTAAAGAAGGAATTCTTGAAAATGAAAAGCAATACTCTAATAACATTTTAGTAAAAGAATTGGAAGATAAAACTGAGAATGCCTCAGCAGAGTCAAAGGACAGAAATAAATAACATGGGAAGAAGGATGAAAATTTTAAGATAATCAGTTCCGGAAGCCCAACATCCAGTAACAGAGTTTTAAAAAGAGAGCAGAAAACTTTGGCGGAGGAAGAAATTGTGAAAGAAACGATAGAAGAAAATTTCCAATACAAGTACAAATACTACAAGAAAATTCAATACTACGAGAATCGAAGGCCATGAGTGTCCAGATTGAGGGGGATTACTTAGTGTTCAGCTTAATCATTGAAAAAGAATGGTGCCAAGTCTCAGTATTGTGAAGTCTTAAAACACCAGAGATTAACCTTTCAGAGAAAAAAAACGAAAAACAAGCATCAGAAGCCAGAATGGTGTTAACTTCTGAAACACCTTCAGAGTTGAGGATTTTCAACGTAGAATTCTGTCTCCAGCCAAATTGCCTGTCAAGTTTGAGAGATTTTTAGACGTGCAAGGACTCGTTTGTCGCCCATGGGCCGTTTCTCAGCTAAGCACCGGAACATGCGTTTCACCAAAACGAGAGTAAAGTCTAGGAAGACAGAGTCCAAGACTCAGGGTCATGGTCCAGGGAAGTCTTGGGGTGACACTGTATGACAGTGCCGAGAACAGCGGTGGGAGAGACAGGGGGCCTCTGCAGGAGGCTCTTTAGGGAGCGAGTGAATAGTCCTGGAGAGCTGTCTGCATTTCATTATGGAAAAGTTGTATATGGCGTTGTTTCAGGGCTGTGAGAACAAGTTTAAGAAGAATTAGTAATAGATACACAGAAGACCAAGGAAAAGAAACAGAAAAATTTGAACTCCAGGACAAACTAAGTCAAGCAAAAAAGGAAATATTATCATAGTATAACTTTGGCTCAGTTGCGAATAGTACTTATGTAGTCATGATATTTAATCGTTGAATATCAGTTTTGAAAAAGAACAAAAGAGTGACGTATTTATTTTGAGAGCATTAGGGAGGAGGGACAAGGATATATGGGAGTGACCTAAGTCCTCACCTTCCATAATAGGAAGTTAATAGACGATGTCTAAAATTCATACGTCAGGAGATCTAAAGCGTAAAGTATATTCTTGAGAAACATGGAGATAGGGTAACAATTTAGTTCAGAAAATTGGAAGCAGCAGCTAGAGTGGTTGAGGGGAGAGGCACGGGAGGTACCTTTTAAAACGAGGTTGACTTTTTAAACCGTCATTTCATTGACGCTAAGATACCATTGAACATAGAATATATTTACACTCTATGTACATCTGAGTAGACAAATGCCAAATAAACTAGCACATAACTGATTAGCCTGTACTTTCCAGTTTCAGACACATTAAAATATGAAAAGTCCCTTTAGGTATCAAGGAACTACTGTAAGTACGTATATTATTTTGATTAAAATAAAACATTTAAATGTATTCCTGCTTTATTGTGATTCTTATTTTCTTGTCCAAAACCGATCTTCCTACGTGTACATGTGCATCCTGCGATCACTTTCCAGTCACGCTGAGAATGCGTGAGGAGGAGACAGCCACCAGTAACATGAATGTCGCAGCTGTGGGGACCTGCGTGCACGGAGACTCAAGGGCCTCCTCCTTAGGGACGCGGCCTTGTGTGCCCCCCGCACCCCGGACTCTCTCATCTGTGTTTCACACCTCATTCCCAGCCTCCGGGACGAAATGACGGGCTTTCTAGAACAGTTGTGTGGGATCGGATGCTTTGTTAAGGTGAACCCATGGCGCGCCCTTAGTGTTGCTGGGCTGTTTTTGGTAAACTTTGGGACACACGGATGAGACTCTCTGCGGGATTATTACTTACTCAGAAACACGTATAGCAAAACTACGTTGTCTAAAAGGAAGAAAGTTTGTACTTGAGCAGGTCAATGTTGTTTTTATTATTTATTATTGTAGAATGTTTGGCAAACACCGAAGAAGTCAAAGAAGAAAAGAAACATCATCCATAACTTCCGGTCTTGCCATCTGAGTTCTTAGTGCAGTCATGTCTACATCTCTTTGTGGGCATATCTCTGAGTAGTTTTGTCTCACATAAGATCATTTCCTGAGCATTTTAGACCATTTAGTCTTTGAAACCATGATTTTAAAAATCAACTGTAATACGATATAATGTAGATATAATAAAATTTATCACTTTGGTTAAGTTTGGCAAAAGTTGCAATCACAGTAGGAGAACGTTTCATTGCCCAGGAAGTCCCTTCCCACCCTTTGTTTTCAGCCCCCACCCCTCGCTCATCTGCTGAGAGCATGCTTTCTCATGGTGGAGTAATAATTTGCCTTCTGTAGAGTATACCTCTTTGGTTGGGCCCTGGGTGACATCTTTGCTTTCTGTTCCAGGCTGCGCTGCGCTGAGCACTGTCGCACATTTCGTGTGTGTCTGCTTCCATAGGCTAAATTCTTTGCAGTAAGGCAGTGGATCACGTACCGGGAATCTTTGGACAGTTCTTTAAGTATCCTAGGTTGAAGACTTTCTGCGCTGTTTGTGGTCTGGGGTGGATGAGAACCCCACGGCTCTGATAGGCGACCTTAAATCGGCCTCAGCTCCCTCTCAGTTTCTGAGTCTCTCTGTTCTTTGATTACCTCTGTTCCAAAGGAGACTTTCCCCCAGTGACTGCTCTGCACAGTTCGTGTTCTGTTTTAAAGCTAGGCCTACTCTTTTGTCGAAATTTTTGTTTCAGATTAGTTTCTGATAACTCGATATAGCCATTTGGAATAGGGGGCTTTTAGGTTTGTGACTTGAATGGCTAATTTATTTGGTAATACTGAGAAATACTTGGGCTGGTGTGGTTCTGCCTTGTTCTTTGCTAATCAGGGGCGAGTGGCTGGCGTTGAGTTAGCACTTGTACCTATTTGACTGTTTGATTAAATAGATTACAACTCGTATTTCTTGCTTTCGCTGCCTTTTACAGGTGGAGGAAATTGGAAACACATGATGTTGTAGTAGAGTGTGCCAAAATCTCTCTGGACCCCACAGAAGCCTCATGTGAAGATGGCTATTCTGTGTCTCACCAAAACTCAGCCCGCTTCCCTCACCGTGCAGCCGATGGCACCGCAGGCCCTTACGTCGACACACAGAATAACTATGGTAAAAACTGACTTTGGTACTTCTCTGTCTGCTTTATCACTTTGTCTCTGGAAAGCATTGTTTATTTTTATTGACTTTATTTTCTTTTCCTACAATAAGACTTAGTTCAGCTCCTGGGAGCCGTTTCCCAAATATTTAAAATTCGAATTTGCCTCCATTTTCTCCTGGTTAATAATTCCTCTTTCAAGTTGCATTGAGTCCCATGTCCTTGATCTCGTATCTGATCAAACAGCAATCCACGTGGATGTGCCTTCAGTGCTTAAAAAAAAAAAAAAGGTTCAGGTCTGAGACTTCTA